AAGGAAAAAGGTATTTTAGTCTAGGCAATGCTTTTTATTTGCTGTTTGTGCTGATATCTGTGCATGTTCCTTGTCAGGAAACTCCCCACTAAACATTAAACCAAATAACATAACCTCATTCTAACCCTTCACCAACAATCAGTCGTACTCCTCTATTAAACAAAATTGAACAACCATTACCAGCAATTACCCACAAAAATTGCAATTATAATAACAGCTTGTATCTCTGGTGCTCTTTCATTATGGCGGAAATCGCACAGGCATATTGCATTCTTAATATTGCCTTAATTAGGAAAAACATCAATTACTTATACCAATCATCTAATCAAACCCAATCAGTGTTGTTTCCCGGGAGTTAAACACAGTCCGTGGCAGAACGACTGAGGCGTGCAGGGGTGGTACGAATATGACATCATAGTCTACACCGGAGGCTCTGCTCTTTCTTAGGAAGCTGACATATTTGCACGAAACATATAACATTGCTAAGCCAAAGCTTATGCCTGCATTCTGACAGTAGATTTATGTGCTACAAAGAAGCTCGGAATACAGAATCACTTAAGAGCCTTTGATGCAAGCGCCCCGAATGCTAACACCATACAAAACTGTGAGCACTCTAATTAAATGCTAACAATACTCCCCACACCCACAAGCTACATCTGCCTGGGGTAACAGCAGGGGGCAGCATTGCCACCAGAAGTCTCGCCTTAGTGGGCAACTCCCCCCTGTCAGGCCACCCGACTGTCACTCTGCTGGAGGCAACATCGGTCATGGTTGGCCGTGATTAATGTCCCTTCTGTCATTATAGAACTAACGATTAGCGACTGGTGACAAACCCCTTACTTTGCAGATAGCAGACTGAAATTAAGGTATTCAATAATCAGGCATAACATTAAAACCACCTGCCTAATACTGTGTAGGTCCTGCTTGTACCACCAAAAAAGATCTGACCCATAGAGACATGGACTCCACAAGACCTCTGAAGGTGTCCTATGGTATCTGACACCAAGACACTAAACAGCAGATACTTTAAGTCCTGTAAGTTATGAGGTCAGGCCTTCATGGATCGGGCTTGTTTGTCCAGAACATACCACAGATGCTCAATTGGATTGAGATCTGGGGAATTTGGAGGCCAATTCAACACCTTGAACTCTTTTTCATTAAATCTCTTTTTCTTAAATCATTCCTGAACAATTTTTGCAGTGTGGCAGGGTGCATTATCCTGCTGAAAGAGGCCACTGCCATCAGGGAATACCATGAATGCCGTGAAGGGGTGTACTTGGTCTGCAGCAATGGTAGGTGTCAAAGTAACATCTACATGAATGCCATGATCCAAGGTCTCCCAGCTGAACATTGCCCCAGAGCATCTCACTGCCTGGTTTACCTTCTTTCCATAGTGCATCCTGGTGCTGTTCTCTTCCCCAAGGAAATGACACACGTGCACCCAGCTGTCCATATGATATAACACAATATGTGACTCATCAGACCAGGCCACCTTCTTCCATCGATCCATTCTCCAGTTCTGCCGCTCACATGTCCATCGTAGGCACTTTCAGTGGTAGACAGGGGTCAGTATGGGCACCCTGACCGGTCTGCAGCTAAACAGCCCCATACACAGCAAGCAGTGATGCACTGTGTGTTCTGATGCCTTTCTATCACAGCCAGCATTAACTTTCTCAGCAATTTGTGCTGCAGTAGCTCTCCTGTGGGATCAGACCAGGCAGGTTAGCCTTCGCTCCCCATGTGCATCAATGATCCTCGAGCGACCATGACCCCGTCGCCGGTTCACTGGTTGGCCTTCCTTGGCCCACTGTTGGTAGGTGCTGACCACTGCATACTGGGAACACCCCACAAGACCTGCCATGTTGGAGATGCTCTGACCCAGTCTTCTAGCCCTTGTCCAAGTCACTCAGATCCTTACACTTGCCCATGTTTCCTGCTTCCTACAGATCAACTTCAAGAATTAACTGTTCACTTGCCTAATATGTAATGGCACCCTTGACAGGTGTCATTGTAACGAGATAATCAATGTTATCCACTTCACCTCTCAGTGGTTGTAATGCTATGGCTGATCGGTGTATAATGACCTGAAACCTAACCTGAGGGGGAGCAACTGCTAGCATTAGCTTTGCAGCATCAGTTTAGTGAGGAAGTGAGATTTGATCCTGGACACATGGCAAGAAGTGCCATTGTAATAAGGGAATCCCACCCAGAGCGGCACATCTCCAACTAAGGTGACGTGTTTCCTCGGATAGCTAGCAGAACAAGAGAAGCAGGCCTTCCCAGGAGACACCGAGCGGAATATGAGTCATTCATCTCTGTCTGTCTGACGGAAGTCTGTCTGCATGCCTACAGAAACATCGAGTTCCATACTGAATTTCGTGAAAGGCAGCTTTCCCCGGGTATGGTGAGCTGTGCTGACATGCGGCTCAGAATCTAGAACGCGTCTGCTCTGACGATCAGAAACCCTTTATAAGTATAATTCCTATATGTGTGCCCAGATGTCACACTCATCAACAAGATGAATAATGGAGACAGTAAGAGATACAGAAGATGTAGCGCGGTGTAATGAAATGGGAATTGCATTTATTCACAGAAGAACACATGTATGAATGCCTTTTTACTGCCCCCCCCCCCCCCATCATTTTATGGAATGATGCTGTATTTTAGCACCACAGCAAGCTCTCTCAGCTGTGACACAAAGCAAGAGGACCCTGGGAGCAAGGGGACACTGGGAGAAATGGGACACTAGGAGAAGTGGGACACTAGGAGAAATGGGATGCTGGGAGCAAGGGGACACTGGGAGAAGTGGGACACTAGAAGAAGTGGGACACTAGGAGCAACGGGATGCTGGGAGCAAGGGGATGTTGAAAGCAAGGGGACACTGGTAGAAATGGGACACTAGAAGAAGTGGGACACTAGGAGCAACGGGATGCTGGGAGCAAGGGGATGTTGGAACCAAGGGGACACTGGGAGAAATGGGACACTAGGAGCAAGAGGACGCTGGGAGCAAGGGGACAAAAAGCACATTCAAGGTGTTAACTTTGATAAAAGCTGGCATTAAAAAAATTAAAAATCCAAACCGCAGTTTCATCATCTGCAAAAATGTACTCTAAATTCATATATTCACAAATAATTGATAGATATTCCTGTCTCTGAACTCAAAAGCTCGACCAGCTTATAATTCATTGTTCAAACGTGTCTGTTCATAGCCTTGCATTTGTACCTCAGCTTTCACAACTACCATCCACGCAAATTAGTTTGGCCCTTCATCTCTTGTGGATTCATCTCTGCACATGTTCTAGCTTCGGAATTAATAGCCAGATCAAGGTGCATAAAAATTAAAAAGCAGTAATAAAATTAACACATCTATAACTACGGCCCTTTGCAATGAAAGAACTTTAATAGAATTTTTACCCTTCTGTCCATTGTGGAGGATAAAACTATGGCCAAACAATGAACTGCAGCCAGTAACAATCTCAGGGATGATTTAATGAAATAAAACAGCAGTAATTTCTTCATCCAGATATTAGGTTGCTTTCACATTTTCCATCTTGCGCTCCATGACAGACATACACATGTAAATACATGCGAGAGCAAGTTTGGAGAGTAGGGTTAGGGGATTTCAATGGCTCTGAAGCAGTTTGGGTTAAAGACCAAACATAAGATTACTCTGTTGGGATTTGAACCCACAACCTCCTGGACAGATGCCTAATCCACACACCATCGAATATGAATATCACAATGGTGTGCTCTAACTGGTACCTGTATAGGTATGTGCCATAGATATGTGCCCAATATACTGGTGGGGTGGGGGGTAATTGGATCCCATATGGGCCCCCACCCCCCTTTTCTCCATCTAAACTCTGACAGACTTTCCCCCCCTCCCAGCTGATTTGATTTGAGGCTCCACCCCCCCATCTGCCCAATGCCTGCGCCTCAGGTCCAGGTTCAGTCAGAGCTGGACAGAAGCGGGACAGAATGGCAGCGGGCGGGGTGCTGTTTGTCCCCCAGCTGAAGGGGGCAGTGTTGCTACATGAGGGGAGGGCGGTAACCGCCAGGGGAAGAGCCGGCGGCCCGGTCCGGCGGTCTGACTTTGTGCTGCTGCCAGGTCCATTGAAGATCAGCTTGGTTTCATAGGGGCATTCCCCCCCCTCCGCCCCCCCACCACTACCACCCCACCGGAGGGGGAAACCCAAATGAGATTAAGGCAGCTTTGCCAAGGCCCAAGATCAAAACACAAAGGCATATATATCAGCCTTTGATCTGAGCAGGCTCATCCGCATACAGCCAGCAGCCACTGTGGACTGTAATAGCCCCATCCCCCCCCCCATCCACCCAAAAAAACAAAACACTCACAAAACGCAAATGGAACGTTATCGTGACAGCTGCAGTGCTGCAGGGTCCTCTGCTTGTGTGCTTGGCGTTTTAAGAGGCTTCTGAGGATTTTTGGACTTTAAAGGGTTCACTCCCGTATAAAAGTACAGTTCTTTGTCTTCGAAACAATGCATATTTTAATTAGGCTCTTAAGTAATGAGAGTTAATTATCATTCCATTATCGTTATCAGTGTGAAGAACGATTTTAGCACAATAGGGGAATGGTTATCATTACTGTAAAATGGCCTTGTCAGGGCTCTGGTGAAAGATGATGTGTCCTAGTTTCTCAGCTTCTGGGGCCTTGGAATCTAGCTGCAGAAACAGCACCTGCTTTTCGACATGCTTATAGGACTGAAGATGTATGAGGTTAATGCTTCATGATGCGTGTATGGCTGCGTTTCTCGACCCAGTCCTTGGGGATCCCCAGATAGGGCACATTTTTGCTCCCTCCCTGCTCCCAACACACCTGTGCTAGGCATTTGGTGTTCCTGATTGGCTGGGAGCTGTGAGGGAGCAAAAATGTGGCCTATCTGGGGGGACCCCATAGAATGGGTAGAGAAACACTGGCGTATGGTGCACAGAACCACCATGATGTAAATGGTACTTGCTTTGGTGCTTTTCAGAGGTCCTGGGGCCTCCTGCTCCATGCTCAGCCGGACAGGACACCTGTCACCCCATCCATGGGCAGCATCCAAGGGCACGGCTGCGTCTGAGGCCCCGCCCCCATCTGAGTAATAACCCCGCCCTGAAACCATGACGACCAGGCTGCCTGCCCCACTGCCGCTGCTGCTCCTGCTGGCCAGGGGCCTAACATCGCTGGGCGACGCCAGCTTCGGCAAAAAGGAGATCAAGATCGACGGTGACCTGGTGCTGGGGGGGCTCTTCCCTGTGCACGAGAAGGGGGCGGGGACTGAGGAGTGCGGCCGCATCAACGAGGACCGCGGCATCCAGCGGCTGGAGGCCATGCTATTCGCCATCGACGAGATCAACCGCGACCCGGCACTGCTGCCCGGCGTCACGCTGGGCGTGCACATCCTGGACACGTGCTCCCGCGACACCTACGCGCTGGAGCAGGCGCTCGAGTTCGTGCGCGCCTCCCTCACCAAGGTGGACGACACCGAGTTCATCTGCCCCGACGGCTCGTACGCCCTGCAGGACAACGTGCCGCTAGCCATCGCAGGGGTCATCGGCGGCTCCTACAGCAGTGTGTCCATACAGGTAATCGCCAGCAACGCGCTCGGACAGACCGCAGGCGAGACTGCATGCATTACGGGTGTTAATTAGCGCAATAAATGCAACCATTTCCACGCAACAGGAAAGAGTGAACATCAGGAGATACTGGGTACACTGACATCGTACGTCTGCAAGCTCCCACGCGATATTATAATGCTATATGGCAATATTACATAATTTGGCAAATGCATACATTAAATTTCTACCATCTCTGCTGAAGCTATTGCTTCATTTTCCCACGAAAGATGGCTGTTTCAGAACCTCGCCATAGCCCAGCTCGATTCAAGCTCTCTGTGAACGGCAAGGATTCCCTCAGCACAGTCTTTTCCTCCAGGTCTCCCTGCCCACACAAACCGCACCCCCCCCCCAAGGCCCACCTCAAGGAGGCTGGGACAGCGTGCCGTTATAGAGCACCCAGGGAGTTCTCCTGACAGAAAGGAGAGTATTTGCATAGCTTGAGAAAGAACCCCCCCCCCCCAAAGCACTTTGCATTCCCACACAAAAGGGCTGCCTCCCTATCTGCTCCGGAATCCTTAATCTCCTTACAATTCGGGATCCGGCCTCTCGCTCCCAGAGGAGACCCTGGGGGACCGATGACCTCAGCCCCTCGGATAAGGGCTCTTATCCCCAGAGGTGGAGATTTGAGGTCCAGAGAGTACAAATCCTGACCAAGATTTCATTACAACCAACCAGTTGAGTAAAAACAGTCACAGTCACAGAGTACTCAACTGGTGCAAACACCCATCTTCATCCGCGTTTACATGTCCGTCCAGGTCCAAGCTGAATCTCTGGGCACGAAAACCACAGTTATCTTCACTTTCACTCAGGGCATCACCACTGCTGTTTTTTTTTTGGGGGGGGGGGGGGCTGTACCTTAGCCTATAGCCAACAGTGAACAATAAGATATCTAGATATAGATATACGCGTACAGATATCAATATATAGATATATAGAACACATGTGGGCCAAATTGAAGTTTCAGTCAAAGCCCACATGCCGCCCTAGACAAGCTTCACCGCCAGCAGCCCCCAAACACAAAGTGAAATCGGCTTGCTAAGTTGCCCCCCTAGTAGATGGCACCCTAGGCAGCCGCCTATATCATTTAATGGGTTGATCGGAGTCTGGAACCTATATCCCAAGACATTCGCCAAACTGCATGTTACCGGAGTGCAGAAGGAAACCAAAGTGGAGGGACAAGATGAAAACTCCATGGGATTCGAACCCAGAACCCCGGAGGTGAGGTTCCAATGCTAGTCTCTGTGTAGTTTTAGCTTCTAATAGGTCCAAAATTTCTTCCCCCCCCCCCACAGGTGGCCAACTTGCTGCGGCTGTTCCAAATCCCCCAGATCAGCTACGCCTCCACCAGCGCCAAGCTGAGCGACAAATCCCGCTATGACTACTTCGCCCGGACGGTGCCTCCCGACTTCTACCAGGCCAAGGCCATGGCGGAGATCCTGCGCTTCTTCAACTGGACGTACGTGTCGACGGTGGCGTCCGAGGGAGACTACGGCGAGACGGGCATCGAGGCCTTCGAGCAGGAGGCGCGGCTGCGTAACATCTGCATCGCCACCTCTGAGAAGGTGGGCCGCTCCAACGTCAAGAAGTCATACGAGGCCGTCATCCGGCAGCTGATGCAGAAGCCCAACGCCCGCGTGGCCGTGCTCTTCATGCGCAGCGATGACGCTCGAGAGCTGCTGGCCGCCGCCGCCCGCCTAGCCGTCTCCTTCACCTGGATCGCCAGCGATGGCTGGGGGGCGCAGGAGAGCATTGTCAAGGGCCACGAGATAGCGGCCGAGGGCGCCATCACGCTGGAGCTGGCCGCCCATCCTGTGGAGGAATTCAGCCGCTACTTCCAATACCTGGACCCGGGAAAGAACAGACGCAACCCCTGGTACAAGGACTTCTGGGAGCAGAAGTTCCAGTGCTCACTGGGTGGGGAAGCATCACGCAAGCCGTGTGGGAAGCACCTGGCCATAGACCGCACCAACTTCGAACAGGAGTCCAAGATCATGTTCGTGGTGAACGCCGTCTACGCCATGGCGCACGCGCTGCACAAGATGCAGCGGACGTTGTGCGCCAACACGACGCGCCTATGCGACGCCATGAAGCCGCTGGACGGGAGGAAGCTGTACAGGGATTACCTGCTCAACGTCAACTTCAGGGGTGAGTGCTTCGGCAGGGCGAAAAAGCAATTAACGGCCGTCCTTAAGTCGGCTTGCGGTTAGTCTGAATACCGGGTTTTGCATAAGAATCGCGGAGATAGACTATTCCTGTGCTGCGCCCTCTCCAAATGCAAAAAATAAAAGGTTAAACTGGCGGAAAATAACTGGACGGCGCTGGTCACTGAGATTTTAAATCCACCTTCTATAATCGTTATTTCACACTTAAGCCTACCTGCTAACTGAATGATGACAGGGAAGAAATTAAAAAAAGGAAGAAAAAAAAACATCCCCACAAACAGCCCTGGTGGGCAGGTGCAGATAAGGTGTCCGGCGTGCCCCTCTTTCAAAAGCACCATCTTCGTCTTCCAAGCTGGGAATTAAAACAGGGTGTGCAGAGCTGTCTGGGACCACTTAACTTTCAACCCCGCACCCATTTCTCCTGAGTAATTGTGGAGAGCCCATCCCCACCCTCCAGACCGGTGGTGACCTGTTCTGGCGTTTTTTCCCAGTGACATGCGTGAGAATTTTGAACCGCCCAACATAAAGCAGTTCTAAACACCGGTATGCTTAATAAAAGCTCATCGTCGCCATCGCTTATGACGGTAATAATCGCCATTAAGCAGATGACTCGGCTGCCGGTGATTACGGCGATCGCCATGAATAATGAATGACAAGCCGTCCGCTGTTTTGCACACGGTCCCAGCTTTTTGTAAAATCCCACAGAGCGACGCTTTAATGTAGCGGGTCAGCAGAATGGCTTTTTTTTTTTTATCTTTCATTGCAAAGATCACCATGACACCCCCACTCCCGCATAAAGTGCAGCAGAAATTCCCGTGGGTTTTTCTTGGGTGAGGTGGGAGGGGATCGGTAAAGGACTCGGACGTGCAAGACAATACAGTTTGAATCTCTCGTGGGGAGATTTGATTAATAAAACGCCACATGCGTTGACAGAACAAATAAATTCAAAGTACCCTAAAGCTGAACAGAGTACAAAGTGATATAAAATGGCAGGATAGGATAAAAAAAATACAGCGATCAGGATGTGAGGAAGTGCGAAAAGGAGTTTACAGCATAGATCCCTCAACACGCCTCCACAGCGACTCGTAACAAGTGTGTCACGTTACCCCCCCCCCCCCCGAGCATCTGTTACAATGCACGTCCAAAAGCAGTACACACCATCTGCAGGTACCAAAGCACCAGAGGGGAGAAGCAGAAAAGCGCTCTGTGACGGACAAGACGTCCAGAAGCGCAGACTTCTTTAAACAGCAGATTTAAACGCGTCGTTTTCAGGCAGTGCAGTGTTGCATATGGCTTAGCGATACTGCGTCGCAGCGGAAATCCAGCAATATCCGACGGTTGCCTCGCCCGACACCATCCCCCTACTCTGAATCCGGCGTAAAACAGCATCACATCACGCTTTCATCTTCCACAGCTGTGGCATTTATTCAGTGGGGAGGGGGGGGGGAGGGCGATCTTGAGGATAACTCTAGCCTATACATTTTTAAAGCCATCATACGGCACCCATTCCCAACATCTATCCACCCTCTGCGCTCTTGATCAAACAAACACGGTTGTCTCTCCCATTTTCCCTGCGCTTACATTCCCAGTACTGTGCCAGACTGCAACGAAATGTCTGCAAGACAATATTTAGTCAAGAAATGAAAGGTTAAACCGCCAGTAATGACCGCAAAGCTCACTCCGTACGCCCTCCTTACGGATTTAAGCACGCACTGCTACATCTGCACGCAGGAAGCAAGATGTCTGCGCAGGAGTAGTCAAGAAATCACTGCATGGTCTATTTTAAAAGCTGCAGTCACTGGAGATACACAAAATATCCCACGTTTGGAAGGGTCTATGGGAAACGTATCCAAGTTGTGTTTCCCGGCTCTGTTTTTTAATAAAACACAGGAGCAAATCTGGTATTAATAAATCCATCTTAGCCCAGATCATTTCACTGAGCGATGAATGATCGATGGCTCCGATAACAGCGCCCTCTTCTCGCCATCGTGAGCGCGTGACTGACGTCTATATTAAATTACGCCTCATTCCCCTTTTCCACGGGCATTTGCATGTTTGATTGTACGACGTTTAGTGTGCCACCCACTTCATTTCACACACGACTGCCTGCCTTTTGCACAGCCCCCCCCCAAAAAAAATGCCCTACTCCCCATCTATAGCTACAGTCATATTGTGCTGTTTACTTTCTAACGCTCTTAACACTCGCTATAGCTACAATTAATAACAGAAACAGAAAATCAATACGTGATATTCCCTTTATGAATTAAGAAGATATCTTTTATAGTGCTAAATTCAGACAATAGTACCAACTCTTGTAGGAATAATTACTCGAGACCTTTAACTTGACTTAACTAGACAATTTCTTTTGCCACTGAGACTTCACTGGCATATAGACATTTTAAATAAAAACGTCCCGTCCCTGTGAAGGCATCACGAGCCTCGCCAGAAGTGGCCGACGAATGGAGGAATAGAAATCTCGAGCCGTAATTAATAAAAACGCGCACATACACACACGGAGCATCTGGCCATGACAAAAAAAAACATTCTGGAGGGAAAAAAGACCCCCCCCCACACACACACACACACACACACACACAATCCTACACACCCACTCCACTAGAGGAACGAGAATAAATTGGATGTGAGGTTGATTCCCAATGTGCGCCACACTCACACATCGGAATCGCAGGATGCGTTCATTGCACGATTTTCCTCTCCTGATGGGCGGGCATTAGACCTAGGCTGTTTAAGTGACAGACATAAAGCTGGTCTCAGAAAATCAATATGGGGGCTGTTTACTGCACCTCTCCATTTTGCGTAATATAAAGTTAGCCGCACAAATGTAGTTGCAGACGATGGCGAACCACGGTTAAGGGTGACAAAAAATTATCATTCATAAGAACATGAAGAAGAGGTTCTCACATACAAGTTAATGGTGTCTTAAATGTAAACTTAGAGCCTTAAGGAAGTTTTCTAGCCAGTACATCGGTAAATTAAAAATCTGCCTCAATCTCCATCTTTCAGCAGTTTTTTTCTTACATCAGCCAGCATTAGTATGCGAGTTAATCCTAAGAAAATTTTGTTTCTTGGCCAGGTGTTGCAACTACATTGCATATTTTGATATTTCATACGGTTTAAGGCCTGAAGAATTCATTTCTGACGCACTGCTGTAATTGTACTATTGGAAAACTACGGCGCCCTCCCTGAAAATGACGTTTTCGATATAATTGTGGGATAGAGGCCGTCTTTTAGAAAGCATAAATGCTGGGGCGCTGGAATTTGCATAATGGATGTCCGTGTTGGCACAGCCTGCAGCATTAGCAGTTTAGTTGCTAACAGCTAGTTGAAAACACACCTTATGAAACCAGTCGCAATAGCCAAGCAACAAGAGCGAAAATCCACAGTTCACTCGTCGCCAGGTTCTGCGGTCACATGTTGCCAGGAGATACGTAATTCTCCCCAAATATTACCCGTTTCTCCCTGGAGGTAACGTGTAATTACAGGAGCGCGAGCGCGTCCGACGTGGACAAACAGCAGACTTCCTTTCTGCAGGAAAGAGCGGTACTAGGGAAGTTGCCTAAGTGCAATCCGACAAGGATCCTCCGGTGTTTGTTTTCGTCTTTTTAATGAGAGGCATCTCCCCAGGAGTGTGTGGGATCTACCTAGTTTTGAGATCAGAAACACAGGTGCTAGACGGACTGATTTTTTTTTCTCACACGTCTGGTCTTCAGGTACAAAAATGAGCCCCATCCACCCCCACAGCTCAAAACGAGCGTTTCTAAATCTAGCAAAAAAAAAATTACCTAGAAAGGTGTGAGGTGTGGAAAAGACATTCGTGAGGAGGCAGATGCATTTGACCTGAATGTCCTCCAAGTATTACTTACACTAGATTGCCAGCATTAAGAAGCAAAAGTCAATTTTGAAAACCGCTAAGTTATGTATCTCACTCTGATTTCTTGTTTAGTCTGTCATGCTTGGGGCAGTGACGGCCTAATGGTTAAGGAAGTGCACTTGTGATTGAAAGGTTGCTGGTTTGAATCCCCAACTAGCGAGGTACCCTGAGTAAGGTACTGCCCCAAAGCACTGCTCCCCGGGTGTAGAATTAGCTGCCCGCTGCTATGTCACATATGGGGCAAATGCAGAGGACATATTGTGTTGTTGTGCTGCTGTGTGTCAACAATGACAATGATTCACTTCCGCAAGTTTGATGATTTTGTTTTCGTCGTTAACTTTGTTTTTCACTCGATCAAGCACCCCGGGGCTCCCGCGTTTAGATTACGTCAAGAAAATGTGCTTACCTTAACCCTCAGAATAATGATAGTAATAGTAATAATACATTTATTTCAGATCCAAGTAGCATACACATTTGGGGGGGGGGGGGGGGGCCGCCTTGCGCGGGGGGGGGGGCCCCCCCCCCCCCCCCCCCCCAGAACCGCCCCTGCTGGGAGCAGAACTGCTTTGAATCCTTGCAGAATCACTGTAAATAACATCGGCATCTTAACGATTGGAGTTACGATTCATTTCTAGCCGCAGGTCCTGTGATACGCTACTGATTTTACCCATAGAAATCGTGAGCTGTCAACTGTTTTCAGAAGCCCGTTCGCTGCCTCTCGACTTTATGTAACCGCTTGTGTCCTACTGGTGACCATATTTATAGGGACTTGGATTCTGCCTATTGCTCGATCAAATCCTGGGAATGCTCATTTATGTAATAAGCCTGAACACTGAACGGAAACGGAATACCCAGCAACAAATGTGTACATCGCTAACTCGCTTTCGGCAAATGTAGCATGATTAACATGTCAGTTTTGTTTCTGAAACGAAAAGCATTGTCAGTAGCTGTAACACAACAACCAAACGTCTATTCCCCATAGCACTGATGCAAGCAGCTGAGACTGACAGCAAGTGGAAATACTGTACGGAGTATCACAGAAGCCTAGAGCTCCTCTTCCTTTAACCTCAGGGTCGCCGACTCTCACGCATCTGGCGTGACGCTCATGCTTTCAGACTCACCCAAGAAATCTTACGGCAAATCTATATTAGGCCTATTATTAAACCTAAAGTTAGCTACGTCAAAAGCGTTGCGGCAGCCTGCAAACCCTATAGGCTATTTACAAGATAATAAAACTCTTATATACATGTAAAATGGGTGTGCAGACCTGTCTCGAATTGAAAATCTCACTCCAGTCAGCTGACCAAATTTGGCAGCCTTGCTTCCTAAGCAAGCTTCTCACAATAATATGTAGATTACAATTAAGACACAGAAAATGGCATCTGAGGGCCTTCAGACCCGAGTTTAACACTCTTCCCTTAAACAATCGTATTCTCTTTCAAGAAGCCATATTAATATTTCCCTCTGATTCAGCAGGCGGTATTAAAGCGCTATGGCTTTATCTCAGCCTACAATCCCCAGTAGCCATTTCAGAATAAGATACTTGCGTAGATAGTGACCATAAACTCATTCTTTCCCCACCAACACAACTATGTTGTCCTTATTTTTATGATACAAACCGGTTTTAATCGGTTCATTATCTGCATGCATTCAATTCTCTATAACCAGGCAGGCATAATGTGCGTTTGAGTTATTATGCGGATATTTGCGAAGAAATGCCGACTTTCTTTGGTTTTCATGAGCTTTGATCTGATCCGATAAGCTCCTTGTATTAACGTTTTGATGGCAGCCGTTAGTCCATAAAACCGCTCACTGCGTTAACTGGCCTCCGTCTTGGTAAGCAGTATATTTCTGAGATTAGATCTTCATGTTTTCTGCGTCGAGATGTATGGGGGCGGACTAAGTGAAACATGTCCCCATTGCACTGGACCCTCCAGCCTCCTGGGAGCACGACCGGCCCTGCCTGGGTGATTTGCGCGTCCCCAAGCCGGGGAGCCGACGATTAGCGGCATCATCAAGCCGGCGTCTCTAACGCGGTTAATTTCAGCGTCCGGTAAAAGAGCGCCTGCTTGGTTTAGACGCTCAAGATACTGGAATTTTCGCTGGGTAGTATGGAGGGTATTAGAATGAAGATCAAGATCATATTTATACTCACACTCTTTTACACTCAGCGGAATATGATACATCCTTAATGCCCTCTTTAATGTTCATTAAGTAACATTTCCTGCTGAGACTTCACATGCCCATTAACGATAAAAAGATAATTATACCCATTATTATATACGATTTGAGGTAGGGATACAGCTGCTTGGTGCACATGTTAGTTTATGCTCTTTATTCCTGGATAAAGCTTTTGAAAGTCATGCGTCGTATCAAGCATTTTTTCACAGCATTTCCTGATCCTCCGGATTAGTTTAGCGCTATTTTAGATGCATTATTGCCCCCTAGAGGTAGAAATATGTAGACTGATGGATCCAATCCATCGACGCCTGCTCCCTTGGTAACATGTTATTCCACATATAGTTCACATATAGTTATGGGAATTTCTCAACATCCGCGTAACCCATTAGTTGAAATTAAGGTGGCATGCGATCTGTTCAGGTATTGATTTTTAATAAATCACAAATCTCCTCAAATAGTAAAGAAACCCATCAATCAATAAAATGTCACGTTATTACTCCAAAAAAAGAGTAAAAAACAGCGATTTGATCATGAATAAATATGATTTTTTTCGTTCACTTAATCTTAATGGAAGTTTTTCAAAACAAATAACAGGCAAATGAGTTGCAATTAATATTTATTGACAAAATGACTATAACATTCAATGAAAAGTGAGGCATATTGATCACTTATGAGAAACCGGGGGAGGCAGCCCTGCCTGGGTTTGTCCACACTACAGATACAGTATTTCTTATGGGGTGTGCATGATAATCCGGATGCATATTAGTTCTATTTCCAGATGCTTCCTTGAAAAACATGGACCAGGTTAGGAAGGCAATATCATCTTGTTTTTTAGATATATGCTGTACTAGATGTATTGGGTTTCTGTCATATCCAGGGAGGTGATTGGGGGTAGATGTGTTATGTTTTATTCGGACGCAGAATTCAGAGAACCGTATAGACTATGTGATGAACTGTGAGGGGTGAGCTGTGTTTAGAGCATTGTAGGTCACACTTGGGTGAGTGCAGTAGGTGTATTTTAAGCTGTGAGCACTGCATGATCTGTGCATGGAGGCCTGAGGTCAAAGGTCACCTCCTCATGCCCTCCCTAGCTTCCTCCTGCCCTCTTATAATCCATTATCCTGTAGAATCGGGGGGGGGGTAGGATAGTAGCTATTTGGCAACTCGATCATCGACGTCACCAAAGGACCGACTGTCTTGCTTTTCACCCCATCTGTCCAACAGATTGTCCACTACCTCTGGCCAGGGCCGAAATATTACAAGATAGCGTATTCTTCTCTTTTTTCCACGATTAAATGTCTCATGTTTGTTAAGTTTGGAAGTCATAGATCCTGTTAGTCAAGCTACATAAAAACAAGGAAGCTATATGTTACGCCAATAAGAGAAGATCTGAGACATACACGCCTCAAACACACCTAAAAAAAAAAAAATTGGCCTGCTTTGGTACTGTTCATATATATGACACGTTTATTGTTAAATTAACAGCGTGTCACATTGCATTTGGTCCTTTAATGATTTCCTGAAGGTTCAATCAGTATTTTACACGAGGATGAATACGATAGGAATCGATGCAGTGGTGTGTCTTCACGGACTGTGAAATCCCATCATGTCCGCCGATTCTGACCGTAAAAAAAAAAAATCCATTTTCACTCCCCAGCACCTTTCTCTCCGTCCGGCGTGGACAATGTGGTGAAGTTCGACGCCTTCGGCGACGGCATGGGCCGCTACAACATCTTCAACTACCAGAGGCGGGGCGACAGGTACGGCTACGTGCATGTGGGCGAGTGGGCGGAGACGCTGACGCTCAACAGCGAGCTGATGCAGTGGCCCCGCCTCTCGGTGCCCACGTCGCAGTGCAGCGACCCCTGCGCCCGCAACGAGATGAAGAAGATGCAGGCGGGCGAGTTCTGCTGCTGGATCTGCACGCCGTGTGAGCCCTACGAGTACCTGGCCGACGAGCTGACCTGCGTGCCCTGCACGGCTGGCCAGTGGCCGACCGAGGACCTGACAGGCTGTTACGACCTGCCTGAGGACTATATCATGTGGGAGGATGCCTGGGCCATCGGGCCTGTGGCCATCGCCTGTGTGGGAATCATCTGCACCTCCCTGGTAGCTGGCATCTTCATCCGGCACAACAACACGCCGCTGGTGAAGGCGTCCGGCCGCGAACTCTGCTACATCCTGTTGTTGGGTGTCCTCATGTCCTACTCCATGACGTTCTTCTTCATCGCCAAGCCATCACCGGCCATCTGTGCCCTGCGCCGTCTTGGTCTGGGCACTTCCTTCGCCGTCTGCTACTCGGCGCTCCTCACCAAGACCAACCGCATCGCCCGCATCTTTGGTGGTGTGAAGGACGGCGCCCAGCGTCCGCGTTTCATCAGCCCAAGCTCTCAGGTCTTCATCTGCCTGAGTCTCATCTCCGTCCAGCTGCTCCTGGTGTCCATCTGGCTGCTGCTGGAGGCGCCGGGGACGCGGCGCTTCACCCTGCCGGAGAAGCGCGAGACGGTCATCCTGAAGTGCAACGCGCGCGACTCCAGCATGCTGCTGTCCCTGGCCTATGACGTGCTGCTTGTCGTCCTGTGTACCGTGTACGCCTTCAAGACCAGGAAGTGTCCCGAGAACTTCAACGAGGCCAAGTTCATCGGCTTCACGATGTACACCACCTGCATCATCTGGCTGGCCTTCCTACCCATCTTCTACGTGACCTCCAGCGACTACAGAGTAAGTTATTAGGCTGAGCGTGGTCGTGAGATGAAGGCATTAATATAACGTCAGCTCAGTACCAGTTGCAGCCCATGCAGGCAAGCCGTACCGCTGGCGCCCTCTGCCTGAGACAAAGTGAAATTGTCTTGCATCCCCCATAGAAGACGGTGCCTTAGATAGCCGCCTGTGTTGCCTAATGGGTTTAGCAACAATACGTCAGATACACAGATACGGTGTGGCTACTTCGTATGCTAAATTCACCAAAGTAATATACTCATGTCTGGAGTATTAAGCACATTGCAGTGTGCTCATAGGATTTATGTTGATTATTTTCAGCCACTGATTTATTATGCTCTATGTTAGAATCTGAATGCTTTTATTCATCAATTACAAAAAGTACAAGAAGTTTGTTTTGGTGCAAGTTGGTGGCGTGAAGTGTACACTAAAATAGTATAAAAGTAAAACAGGTAGCTATAGAAATAAGGAAGTACAGATAAATTAAAACATGTAGGTGAGAAAAACTGGATACAATCAGCTTTAAAGTATGTGTAAACAAGCTTAAACATGCTCAAAGTCACTCTGCATGCATACACATATAGCAGTTCACCTAATCTATATGTAAATCACAGAAATCTATTATGAAACAGTTATAAGGTGTTTTAAACATTTACCACTTCTGCAAGATGTGTAGTAATTTAAGTGTAAAATTTAGAGAGACAGCAGTCTATTTAGGTTGAGGTAATGACTCACACGAGTAACTTGGAATGAAATGTGTTGCTACCCCTTTAAATGAACAGCCTGTTATTTAATATGGGATTTAGAATACAAGTGAACTGAGTTACACAGGAAGTGAATCATACGGGCACATTTGTGTAGCGTTTTAATTAAGTGCAAATGTCAGGCTGGCTTTCCGTGTTTGACAGAGACAAAAACACAGCTTCAGAGAGCCAGGCCTCTGGGATGTTACATCACAGCTATCCATCACCGTGCGTCTCCGCTGTGCTGTTTGATGACAGTGCGACCTGGAGGGGGCGCTCATGAGTTTCTGTCTGGCTCCGCTTCAGGTACAGACCACCACCATGTGCATATCGGTCAGTCTGAGTGGCTTCGTGGTGCTGGGCTGCCTGTTTGCCCCCAAGGTTCACATCATCGCGTTCCAGCCGCAGAAGAACGTCACCAGCCACCGGCTGAACCTGAACCGCTTCAGCGTCAGTGGCACGGCCACTACCTACTCGCACGGTGAGGCCTCAGCGGGTCAGTTTTTCATTTTAATCATTATCCACTTACAACGTCTTCCTAAAAATAAGATTATAGATTTCAAGTTCAATAAAAATATCGAAAGCTACTTAAAATCTGGATCAGATTTAGTTTATAACACAATAGTTATTTAATATTGCGATTCCTTTCAGTTAGATGATTTTAGACTGCTGTGTTATATTTGCATTATAGTTCGCACTGTACTGATTAGCATGAGCATTCCAATGACTTTTTAGCTATTCCCGCGGCAAACTGCTCAGGTAGTTTTAAGACCCTTTAGGCCAGGTGACAGGACACTGGAGCTAGGTGTCTGCGTTTGGAGAAACATCACTTAGGTCTTTCCTGGGCAGTGATTGAGAATGTGACCTAGACTGACACTGTCCTCCTCTTTCAGCGTCGGGGGGTGCCAATTACGTCCCGACTGTCTGCAACGGGAGAGAGATTGTGGACTCAACCACCTCGTCCTTGTAACCCACCGTCAAACTCGCTGTCGCAGCTGTTAGACTGTTAGCCAATTTGCACATATTGTGCATCTCCTATGAGCTAGTATCATTTACGTAGAAATTAAATTATTTTTAAGGGCTGTACATATTAACTGATGTTGTAGACAAAAAAGAAAACATTTCTAGGATGTTTTGATAGTTTATTATACCTTGTATATAATCATAAACTTCACTGGTAAATGGTTTCCATTGGGTTAGCTAAGCTCTGAATGGCGATCCCAGACAATGTTTTTTCATGCCATTTTATAGACCTCACGGTAATAATCAGCGGGTTATACATTTCTATGTTGTACATATGTATATTATGTCTAACTGATGGTTTCAACAGCACAGTAACAAGTTAGCTGTATGTAAGATGTGTGCTGGGGAGGGCAAGAGAGTCACGTGACACAGGGATGGGAGGAAGGAACGGGGCTTTATTTGGGACCAGGAGCAGAGATGGCTTTAGAGAATGGTGAGGAGGGACAAGCACAAATGGCAGCCATTTTGGAATTGTTATATAAGCTAAACATATAAACGAAGTGGGTGGCATGTCTTCAGGGAAGCAACAGTGGAGTGTAGGAAAAGGCATCGAGGTCTGGGCAAAAAATGAAAAAACGGAAAAAAAACAGACCCTATTTTTAATGAATCCGTGATAAGGCATGTCCTGACTCGTCCACGCCTCTCTGTCTGACACCACTTTACCGGAATCATCTCTGGAAGACAGCCATTTAGACCCCCTGACACTCAGTTCCTTCCACAGATATGTCACGGCTGCAGGTTGTCTTCAAGATGGTGGAATCAGCTATGGAGAATTTACCCATATAATATGTGACCCTCAGTAAAAATTTAATAATTTTTACACTCAGTAAAAACAATGTAATGTTTAAGAATGGCTAGTTGTGCCTTAACTTACGTCTTGTAGTTTTATACTGAAGCCTTGCTGTTAGATTTTGTGCATGTAGGACGTGGCAGGGAGCCACCTTTGTATGAGTTGTTTACATTTTCGTACCGTGTCGTACTTTTGACCTCATTCGTGAGACTGTTTTCAGAGACTCAAACTTCTACCAAGTGCTGCTGATATTACAGAAAGCTTGTCTGTGTCCATTAGTGGCTTGCGTTTGAAGGGTTAGAGACTAGCTCTCGTTTTTAGTGACACAGGAAGTCAGCAGGAAACCGACACCTGAGCCCAAAGCCAGTGACGTTTATTCAACCATCCCAACAACAATAAATAACAGTTATAAACAGGTTTGATCAGCTGCGATGAACACCACAATACAAAACGTACAAAAGAAGTCACCGAAATCGCTAGAACTGATCCGTGTCGCCCATTGGATGTAGTGATAAACGGTTATCGATCTGTCTTCCAACGTATCCCTACCGCCAGACCAGTGGCTTGGGTCTGACCATATAGAGACTCCCTCATAAATAACATCAGATCTGGGCCTAAAGAACTGCACATATTCAGAGAAGACAGCTCGAAGAAAGACAAACAAAAGAAAAAAAAGGGAAACAAATAAACATGGGTATCGGAACCTCCCCACTGGTATGGGTCACTGTACTATAGGGTTCTGGGTCTACCTAGTCCTTGTTCTGTTCTCGACAAACTACTGTGGGAGTCTGAGAGTGAAAAGGGAACAAGTGACATCCTATCAGTCTTGCCCCAATTTCACTGGTCTAAAATAATGAACAATAAAACCACCAGGGTGCGCTGTGCAGTTTTGTGGATGTTCTTTATCGTACACATTCAGTTTCTGTTTGTGTCAAAATGGCTGCTTGTGAAGTTGCTACAGATGATCCCGCTAGCCAGCAAAGTTTCTGCCATTCTCTGCACAGAGGACGATGCCAAAGAGGATTCCGGAAGATCGGAAGCCTTAGCCTCGTTCGAAATTCAGCTGTGGCTATGAAGGGGCCAGCTGGACTCGACCTGGGACCGTATGATGTACGCCACTGGGTTTATGGCCAACGTTTGAGACATAGGAAATGGTGGTTGAGTTTTTTTGTCCAATTTTTCATGTGTTCTAATTAAAAAAAATACCCAGCAAAAATAGTGTTCAGTCAGACTAAAGTCTGGCTAAGTCTACCTAATCCTGAAGCAATAGTTCAGTGCTCGTCGTTTGTGCAATAACAAGGAAATGATGGAACAATAATAAATAAATAACTATTCACAGTCTGGATCTGCTTATTCTCAGTAGTTCCCGATGCCCATTTCCCTGACCAAGACAACCAAAAATGACCAGTTACATTCAACAGGGGTGTTTGCCAGCACTCAGCCCACATGTGGGGCTTTTGACTGGGGTGCTTGTGACTTTTTGAGGCCCCACAAACAACAAATCAGCCCCTCATAACATTTTACTGGAATGGAGCTTTTCCACTGCCGCCAGGAACCGAGCCAGACCCGAGCTGTACCGTAAACTGACGGTTTTCCAGTATGCGAGCCCCACCTGAGTCGTTCCCATATTGAATAGAATGGATTCATAATGAAAATTTACGCGAGCAATGCTAATTCCGTTAGCGTTGGATGCTGACATAAGACGGTGATTCTCATAGACTTGCTAACAGAGTTTAGCACATAGTAAATTATCATGTGCACCGCATGAACAGTAAATAAGCTGGTCTTGCATTTTACGTCACTGTCGCTCTCCAAACCCGACAACGCCTTCACCGAGCCGACCCATCTGTGTGGAAAACCGAAGCGAGCTGGAACTGCGCTGTGACGAGTCCCAGTTCATGGTACGGGTCAGGTTTGGCTCGGTTCCTGTATGACAGTGGAAAAGCACCGTGAGACACAATGAGCAGCCATATCTAGTTGTGGTCAGTTGTGCAGGTTTTTGAGTACAAATCTGTGTACAAAGTCCTTCACTGACAGCTGAAGCATCGGATGAGGACACAAACCTTCCAAAGGATTATTTCAACAAAGCACTGAGGGACTGACAACAATAACCTAAACTTCCCTTGCAGCCAACCAAAAACTGCTGAGCTTCCATGTTATAGATTTTTCAGTAAGGATATTTTAATTGCTTCAGCAAAACACCCATCTTTGTCTGCCCATCACTACAATGTAAGTTATCTGGCTGCCAAGCAACTACAATCATAATATAATATAATACAATTAAAAACAGTAAGTACAGTCTGTCCCTTATTTCTGTTCCTCAACATTCCTCCCACTACCCATCAATCTGAATTAAATTGAAAAACCACATTTGGCCCTTTATGAATAGGGTTAATGCATTTTTGCACACTCCTTTCCAGCTGAGCAAATTTATAGTGAACAAAGGGGTGTTTTTATTGCTGGTCTGTCTGGATGGTGAAAGGAATTTTTTGGAATTTGGGAGAAAAAATGTTTGTCCTTCCTGGGACGGCAGCTCCAGCCTGCCTTTCTGGTCTGAGTTAGTCTGTCTAACGATCAAGTTCTAATCGTTCTGAGAATCAGCCCCACCCCCCAGAGTATGGATCTTCCTCTGCACCCCCCTCCGAAAAAGCCATCAAACTTCATCAGTTTTTTAAAAAGGGAAAAACAAAGAAAACAGGATGTTAGGGAAGCTTTTCATTTTTTTGTATTTTGTCTTGAAATGAGATAAAAAGTATAGCTGGACATGACCCATAATGCACTGCAGGCCAGGCCCAGGCTGACAACAGGACACTGTCCCCTTTCCCATAATGCACTGCAGGCCAGGCCCAGGCTGACGACAAGACACTGTCCCCTTTCCCATAATGCACTGCAGGCCAGACCCAAGCTGACCACAGGACACTGTCCCCTTCCCCATAATGCACTGCAGGCCAGGCCTAGTCTGACCACAGGACACTGTCTCCTTTCCCATAATGCACTGCAGGCCAGGCCCAGTCTGACCACAGGACACTGTTCTGTTTCAGCTACTGCACTCAATAAGTCAGAATTCCTTCAATTCACCGGCTCAGAAATCAAATCTATGACCTTTTAAATAGCTTCATTTTGACAGCATGACAGGAACATGTCACTGTACGATAAAGAATGTTCCCTTAAAACTGGTAGACTTTGATTAACATTGATATATCCACCCAGCTGAAAGGCTTACTGGATGGACCCTGCTGCTGGGAACTGACAGAGTTGTATTGCATTAATAGCAAATAGAAGTTTTATTTTCTGCAATTATACCTTTCATTGAAGGGTAAGCCAATATCTCTAGAAGCACATGCCATTCTAATTATCTTAGTCCTTGTCTAAAACATTTTAAAATGTCCAAGTAGGTACAATATAGTCCAACAGAATGAATATTAACACAATAAAATAAAATCTTAACACATCTCTGACATTCACAGCAAGTTACCAAGCCTTTGGTGAGAAACCTCAGATGAAATATGGCCTTCAGCTATTTTAAATGACCACAGGGACATCCTACAAAACCCCTGTCACCACCATGGCCCTGGACGCTGATGTCCAGCTGTAGATCAGGTCCAGGGGACATGGAGAAGTGGAGATTGACTGCCCTTCCTGCTCTGACCCTCCTCTCCAAAGGGTTACACAAACAGGGAGCTTGACTGAGCCTGATTTTATCTCAAAACATAAATGGGGTAGATTTGCTAAGGAGTTGGGGGATGGGCCAGCCTTACTCAATGTTACCATGTGAATAACTGCCCAAGAGAAAAGCCCACATCAGTTAAAAACAAAAAGAAATGGTCTGGAGGCGTCTATCTCCACGTCAACACAGTCCCGCACATCTTCAGCCTCCAAAGCCTCTCCGAAGACCTCCACTTGGTTATAGGGCCACCAGCTGTAGGCGTCTTCACAGTACTGTACTTGGGTTGCGAGTCTTTCCTTGGGTTGCGGGGTTTTGCCGTTGTATCCTCAGACCCTCCCAGCACCAGTCACGCACTCCCTTTATCCCCACACCCATCTCTCTGCCCCGGAGCACTTCAGCTGGACCGACTCGCAGTTCTCGCCGTTGCCCTGGAAACAAAGAGGGACCACACGTTGCACGTGGCTGGCATGCTATGGCAGAACGCAGGTTTATATTAAAACTGTCACAATTGTGGTGATGCCCTACGTTTTTATTTATGACGTGTGAGTTTGGTTTGCATTTCTCAGTTCCGTTTAATTTTTCAAACATGTACAGAATAGTCTGACTCAGGCAAAACACTATAACCTCACCCTGACTCTGTCTGTGAGAAATTTGCACGTTTTTGCCATGTTTATCGTGAACCAAACATGCATTTAGGCACTGGTGCCTCTGAATTGCCCACAGTGTTTGAGTGTGTCCCCTGCAATGGACAGATATCCTGGTGTCCTCTGCTAATGCTTTGTGTTTCCTACATGTATAGCCCATTCTTTTGTACCACAGAGACTGCATACATTGAAACCTGAAAGGTCAAATGTAACACAGCAAGCCACGAGTTCACAGAAAGTCCAGCCGATGACACTCTGTGAATCATAGACCATTGATGCCGCAGCTCCCTTGTTCACCCTGATTTTGCAGAGCGATGGCCCTCATTAGCCTGTGAGATGGTTCTTGCACCTTAAGGAGTCAGGCACGTAGTCATTTAGTAAATTACGGGTTTGAACCCCCTCAATATCAGCCCTCAATCAGCAAAATCTACAGAGGGTGACCTCAACCCCCCCGTCAGCTTAGTGACCTGAGGGGGAAACCCCCACCCCCCAATCAGCAAAATCCACTGAGGGGGACTTAGCGGATTGGTTGCCAGACCTCCAACAAAGTTTATTTCTGGCCACGGGCCTGGTAGGAGTAAATCCTGGCTCCTCGGCCTCACCTTTGTGGCAATGGACTTGAGCTTGCCCAGTAGCGAGGGCTTGTTGGTGTAGACCACGTCATCATCATTGTCCTCGCCTTCCATGATGGCGCAGCTGTCGGCGGCTGGCAGTTCGCACTCCCTGTTGGCAGTCATCACCAAGCGGGAGTATTTGTACTCCAACCTGCCAGTGGGTGCAAAAAAATGACAGATCAGTTGCCATCCAGCCCTGCTACCACACAATATGAGCACAAGATTCACAGACTAACTAATCAAGGCTCACGCACAAACACTTAATCTCCTTCGAGGGTGCTGCCTGTCTTGGGCAGAAGGTGCCAAGAAAATTCGCTTAAAATTTAGATTAAAAAAATATACATCCACTGTTACTTTTAAGCATTTTCAAGGAGCTTCAATGCTTCTAGACATATCATCTTCTGTGTAGGTAGGGAAGTGTGCCAGACAGAGTCAGTTCACTGTGCCAGATACCACAGAAGGGTCTACACTGAGGACCACAGAAACTGGCCACGAACAAGTGTGCCCGTACTTCTTGTTCTTCTTCCAGAAGTAGCAGGTGAGGGCAATGAGGAGCACACCCATGAAGGCGCCGAGCCCAGCTCCGACCTTCAGCCAGAAGTTGATGTCCTCACAGGGCATGGTCTTCTTCGCTGGGAGTCGGATGCCTTTGGTGCAGAGCTTTGGCTCATTCCAAACATAGAGAGTGTCCTGAAAGGAAGTAGAGGAACATTGTAGGCCCAGGTCAATACAAACACATGAAGGAACAATGCAACAACAATACATCACACACAGTCACTTCCAGAAGCCCAGAGTGACAGTATACATGCCAAAAAAAGCTTGAGTCAGGCTTGGAAACTAAGAAGATAGATACTCACCTGGGCTCCACCTTTGCAGGCTCCCTCGATCTCATGGTAGTCCATCTCCGTGCAGCGAGGACATGCGCTACCACTCTCCCACAGGAAGTTGAAGATACAACCATCGCAGGTTCCCGCAGGGCATTTACTGAGTAAGCAGACTGGGCGTTGGTCATACGGAACCATGTATAAACCGCTATATTGGTGTTCCACTCCTCCTGGAAGGATTCACTGTTCTTTTTTTTAAGATCTACTGTCAACTTTAAAACATTCTGATTAGGTTTTTTCACAGGCTGAAGCACTGCAACATCTTTACCAGAACTTCTGAGGAACTTCTGAAGAACTCGGAGTACTTAAAGTGTGCTGAATTTAGCTGAATTTGCCAGGTCATACATCAAGGAAGATCCAAATGCTGCCAGACTAATTTAAAGGACTGAGTCGAATTCAGTGAATCCTGGGAATTTGGTTCCCTGAACATTTCATGCCTCAGCTCCTTCAAAGTCTCCTGCGTTGAAGCTGTAATAATTTCCTCCAGGCGTCGATTGTGCACGTATGTGGACACAGCGACAGAGCAGCAAGCCCATGTATAATGCTGGTGAAATGCTTTTCATCTCTATTCATACATCGTTGGTCACTTTAATTAGCGTCCATTGTTTAATATTCTACCATATTTACGGCACGTGAATATCGTTTTATACGTGTAAGACTGGGAGGGGGTATGGATGCCCCAGGTTAAGACCCCATTCATTCACCTGTTCCTAATTGCCGGAAGGCTCCTCTCTCTTGGCCTTTCGGACCACACTCGCTGATTTTGTTTTCCAATCCGACTGCAGCCATTCCCATGCATGTGAGCCTGACCACAGTCCTTCCTTTAGCTAGTTTTACAAAATGCATTAAAAGACACACTGGAATATCTGCTGGCTGTTGTTTTTGTACTTATTTTTGATCTCACGCATGTTCATCTGAATATGCGGGACACTGTATACTCATGAAGAAAAACTGAATTCCAGTGCTTTCGAATGTTGCAGTGCTTTAGTCTGTTTAAAGCCTTGCCGTACACCCCTCTGTCTTTTCTTTGGAAGTCATCCATCACTCATTTTCACCCCTCTCTGCTTAAACGGCATTGCTCAAAGCCACCAAACACCTAAAGTTCTACAGATCCTCAGGTATTACTTTGAAGAAGACCCTAAAATTGCCTGTGCAAGTCAGGGCATGCGTGGGCATGACCCTCCTAGTGGGCACCTTTGCATGGCAGCGACAGCTACCTGGGCACGGAGAGCTCTCCTCGTTCCGTTTTCTCTGGGCTACATCTTAAGGTGATGACCGTATGTCGGCCCTTGTCACAGGAAGATGTCGCCTGCGGAGATCTGAGAACAGAAGAGCGTTCTCATGACATTGAGCAAAAATGAGCCAACAAGTCATTTGAGAACAAAGTTCATATTACAAATTTGAGCATAATAGAACATTTCGTAGCAGCATGAAATATCCCCAAAGCAAAATAAACAGGAACCATGCAACCAAGTCTAAAATTGGTATCTAAAACAAACAGATGTGTTTATCCATTTGATTGAATTATACTGAAAAATATCTCCTTCCTGACTAGCTAACCCTTAGCACATGCTCACTCATCTGCAGACACTCACCGGTAGAAGAAGTTGACGTCTGGCACTTTCTTCAGCGTCCCAGGGAACAGGTCGGGTTTCACGGTGACGCCTGCGAGCGTGCCGTCCACCGTCGCTCCTTCGGGAATCAGACGGGATTACAGAAGTCAGACTCGGGGCATCGGAAACACGAAGGCCGGTTCTCAGGAAAATAGCGGGAAAGTGCTGATGAAGATTTCTCAGGATTCTGAGTCCAGAGGCTATTCATAGCATAGCTGCCAGACAAGGGAGCTGCCCAAGCAGCTCAGATAAGCTGACAAACTTGTTACATCTTCATAAATAAAAACGAACGGCAGACACGCTCCTCTATAATCCATTATTGAACTTTAGCTTCCTGAAAAATGATTAGGTTTGTAGCATGTGTGTGTGTGTGTGTGTGTGTGTGTTTATTTCCTGTGGTAAAAAAAGTAGCAGAACTGATGGCAGCTTTGGTGGTAAGAAGAAAGCAATTTCACACAAGGCCGCCCCTGGCTCTCGTTAACAGTGATGGCTGGCAGGTTCCTGTCAGGCAGGAACAGCTAACAACAGCGTTAGAGAGCTTAGTTCTCCATTTGAATGAGCTGCAACGGGGCTCAGAAAATCGCCACTCAGCAGACTGACTTGCAGGTCTTCAGGGCTGGGGCTTT